GGAATCTTCTTGGTTCTATGGATTAAAATCTGGGTTGTTTTTGTTCAAAAACCTTCAAAATAATTTGGGTCTTTATTTCTTTTTTATTCTGATTATGCTTTGAAGAATTTGTGTATCTGATGTGGGTTTTATCTCATTTTATGCTCCTTGGCTTTTCACTTTAGATTAAGTCTCCTTTAATTCTTCCCTTTTTCCTTTATTTTTTCTCTTTTCGTTGGTGCTTTATTCTAATGCTGCTATGGTGTTAAAATATTTATTTCATTTATGAAGTTGAGACATTCAATTTGATAATCCAATCGGTTGAGTGGAGGTTGGAGAAGGCCATCTTGACGAGGAGATTGGAATTGAAGAAGAAAATAGAATTTTTACAAATTTTCTGATTTTGCCCCTTGTTAATTGTCCACATGCGATGCACATGTGGATTTCTGTCAAATTTTTTTTGACGGAGTTAACAAAAGGACCACTAATACAATACATTTTGAAGTTTAAGAGACCAATAACAAAAATTTTTAGTTTAGGGACCAATATGTCAAACACGAAAAGGTAAAGGTGGTTCCATGCAAAAAAAAGCTTAAAATAAAATATTGATCAGTTCAAGGAGTAGTTTCCATGATTTCTGTTTGATAAGACTAGAGTTTTCTCTTTTTTTTTTTCCCTTTGAATACGAATTTGATCAGTTACTTGATAAGAAGGCCACAATAACGAACTGGATAGTCTATAAGAAAAGTCGCTCAGATTCATTGAAAGTTTCGTCCATGCTTTTTTTAGTCTCTACTAATTAATTTATGTTGAGCCCTAAGAGCATATCTATTGAGAAATATTTGACCATTTCTATTTTAGACTTCACATTTCATCTTGCAACACACAACAATCAGTGACCAGACATTACTCAAAGAGACCAATTAACTTTAGTTTATTTTTTAATTTCTTTTTGGGAGCTGTTTCGGTAGGACTAGAACAAATAAAATACTGATAGTTCTTTATGTTCAGCCGTTAAATCTGTATTAAAAATTGTCTGTTATGCACACTTTTTTAATTTCATACGATTTAACTCAATCCAACGATTAAAAAATGCATTTAGCTATTTTCTCAACCATGTTTGATGTATAGATAATATGCTTGACCTCCTTTTTTGGGGTAAGAATCACGCCTACTACAATACTAATAAATTGCGGTTTCTCCCTCAAGTTTGTGGTCCAATATTATCCTGCTTTTAGGATGCTAGCCCCAGGTTGAAAAATCCAATATTATCCTGCTTTTAGGATGCTAGCCCCAAGTTGAAAAAATGGAGAATTTACTCCTATAGGGTATGCGTCTGAATTTTTACTCATTTTTTTTTTATAAATACTATTTTATTAGTATAATTATTTTACTAAAAAATTTATAAAAAAAGTAAAAATCTTAACCTATACACTTTTAAAAAATATTTGTTAAGATTACCTTATCGTTTCACAATGTGTACATCTTTAAACGTGTCCTTTTTAAAGTTGGGGATTCAAAGTTATAACGCTTATCAATAATCTCAATCTTTTCAAGTCTTGCAATGCAAGCAAATCCCATGTGCCTGCAATTCATTTATTGAACGAGTCCACAAGGGCAGCATACGTTCATGTCAATAGAAAAAGCTCAGTCAATTCTGTCTCCTCAATTCCATGCCGAAAAACTATTTGTACTGGATACATTGATCTGATTTTGTCTAGATCCAACGCTTGAAATCCGTTTGACACGAACACTACGGGCACAAGATCCTAACGTATAAAAAGATGGATCGCAAATACAGGAAATTACCATAAAATTGTACTGTTACCAGTTTCGTTAACCTTTCTCATGGAAGCAAAACCCGTGTGATGCTTTTTCCTCGACGTTATGTTTAGAAATAGCTAAATTATGATCACAAAAACTCTCATCAAGAATCATAAACTGGGAAAAGAGAATTCCCGAGATCAAAGAAGACAAAGAAACAAAATTCAAACTCCATTAACAAACCAACAATAATTTATTCATCTCCCATAGTAGAACACACTAAGTAAACCAAATCAAGCTCCAAACAAATGAACATAGCAAATCCCATACACACAACGTTCTGCAACAGTATATAGTTGCACACAACAGAAACTAAAAGCAACTCTGGTAAAAATATAGTCAAAATACCATATCTCAATATATTCTACTAGCGTTTACGGCTCTTCTCAGATCGCTTCATGCTCCTACGACAGGGGGGCGAATCATCAGAGTCGCTAGCATCAGAATAAGATGGTGATGATGATCGCTTGCTTTTCCGCTTGCGGTGTCTATCATCATAATCAGATGAATCTGATGCAGAATCATCTGAATAATGATGACTTCTTCTCCTCCTCTTCTCCTTCCTACTCTTCCTGTGCCGTCGACGACGGCGCTCAGCTTCCTCATCCGAGGACTCGTCTCTCTTTCTCCGCTTCTCCTTCTTTCTCTTCCTCCTACCATCATCAGAACTATCTGAATCATCACTTTTGCTCCTTTCACTCCTCTTCTTTGACCTTCCTCTCTTTTTTCTCCTCCCCGAATCTGTATCAGAGCTATCATCATCATCTGAGCTCTTTTTCTTCCTCTTTACTGACCTATCCTTTCTAGAACCTCTCTTCCCATTTCTTTCAGCAATAGCCCTCTCAATCTCTGAGTCATAATCCGAGTCTGAAATCTCACTCTCTTCCTCCTCCTCCTCACTCTCCTCGCCATCAGCAGCACCTTTCCCTTTCACCTTGCCTTTTAACTTTTCCAATTCAGACATGACATCAGCTTGAATAGCAGCTGGGTCTTTCTCCTTGTTATCGTCCTTAACACTTAAAAAGTTCCTGCACTGAAACTTCAGGTGCCCAACACGGCCACACTTCTTGCAAGATCCGCGAGCCTCATCAGCATTCGACCCAGTAATGCGAGCAAGCGCAAGGAGGCCCTGGAAGCTTGCATACGCATTCTCACCCTCAGGCTCCGAGTTTGAAGACTTCTGCTGTGAAGACTTCTTGTCATCATCCTTGTTGGGCGCGTATGGATCGTAACCGATTGCACTCTGCCATATACCATGCGTTTGCAGGGCAGCACTACTGTGCACCCTGTTGTTCGCAGGCATGCGAACCCTTCCCGCTGTAGCCGGCATCCTGAAATTCCAAGAAAAAAATCAAAGCGAGAAACGCATCAATCAAATTTCTTAAAGATTGAACACTAACTGAAACAAGAAGTAAAAAGTTCAAAACTTGAATAAAACCTAGTATTTACTAGATCACGTGTCAAAATTAATTCAGTAATGCTGAGAATCAAAGACTAATTCAGCACACCTAAATGAACCAAACACTATTGATATACGTCACATCTTGATTTACCATAGAGAAATAATTGAGGATAAATTCAGCTCCAAGAAAAGTTATACCAGCGTAATAGTACACAAAAAGGAACACCTAGAAAATAAAATAACACAAAAATGACTTTGCAGTGAAACGTCTTAATCATAAACCCAAAATTTGCTGAAATACGTGGATACATCCCATCATAAACACTTTATGTTTCTTAATTAGATCCCAATTAAAGAACATCCGCATAATCTGTTGCAAAAACCCAAATTCGCGTATATATCTTTAAAAAAAAAAACCCCAAAAAATTAGCGATTATTTAACTTTAAACTTTTTTGGCGGTAGGAATTAAAGACCTTATAAATTGAGAAGCGAAAAATAAAGAAAAATTCTAGGGAGAGAAAGAAATTGGAAAAACCAAAACCTAAACGCTTGCCTAAAGATTGACTTGAACGAAAACTAGGGTTTTACTCGATCACGTTACAAAGTCATCAACACAAAAAATCGAGTTAGAACAAAGCTGGACGACTTAAACTCCAATTCAAAATATGAAAAATTGGAATTGCAGAGAAAATTTCACATTCGAATCCGAAAGTCCCAATTAGAACCAACGAAAAACTAAAAGAATAAAGAATATAAAATAAAAAATAAAACAAAGGAAGAGAAAATCATAGAGAAAGACGAAAGAGTCCGGAATACGAGAGAAATACCTGTCACTAACGGTAAACGAACAATTTCGGTAGAAATCTGGGAAAACCCAAATGAGTTGTTGAAACTTGAAAGGAAAGGATTATGGAAGCTCTCCAATGGAGGAAACCCCAATTTGAATTGCGATTCCCTGTACCACTTAAATACCAATTCCTGAATCTTATCGAAGACGGTTCGAGATTTACTGTGCTCGATTTGGTACGACGTCGTTTGGAGATATTTAGATGGGCCCCAGCCCGACGCGCAAGTATCGGACCTTGTCGACGCTCTGATTGACGGATGTGGGCCGTTCGTATGTTTGAGTGATTTGTTGGCCGTGGCCCACTGTGCGCCTTGGCAAAGGGAAAAGGCTACACTAACATCGCCCCCTATATTTTAATGATATTACATAAATACCCCTTAAAACGATGTATTTTGCACCATTGCTCCTGAAAAACTTTGAAAATTACTGTGAATAGGTAGTTCATGATTTGGTATTTTTGCTGTTTTCGTTCCAACGTTTTTTTTTGCCTCTTTCTTTTTCTTTTTTCTTTTTTTTTTTTCATTTGGTTTGTTTTACAATTTTCAAATAATTAATTCCAAGCGTTGAAATTCTACTGGCTCAATTCCTTTAGTTATTTTTATTTATGGAGCTCAATTCAAAATCATTAGTTATGCTTTCATTTTAAATTGATGGCTTGTATTTTGTATGATACGTAAATTGAGATTGTGATTAGTTGGAACTTCAGTAATTTTGTACTTAAAACTAACGTGTTTACGAGTGTGGACTTAAAAATATATTAGGGCCCGTTTGATTCACGGGTTTAAACTATGATTTATGATTGTGACGTTTGAAATTTAAATTTTTTATGAGAGGAATACAATATAGCAGAATCAAGAACTATGTTTAACCTTTAAAATTAACGCATCATTAATAAAAATGTGTTAGTGCGGTTCTCTTAAAAAGATAGACTCAAAAGTCTATCATCTCATTTGTTTTACTGACTTGAGCTACAATATAATCTTTTTGTTATAGTATTTTTTTCTCATTAAAATTTGAATTTCTGTTTAAAATTTGGGCAATTTTTAACAATATACTTAAAATAGAGCCCATTTTATTTTTACTCATTTAACATTAGCCCATATATTTATACCTTTTAGTAATTCAAGTACTAGAGGTAGAATCTATAATTTTCTCTTAAATAAAATTTTTATACAAAACTATGAACTAAACTAGCTAAATATTTCTTTTGGACATCTTCAAAAATCAAAATTTGAATTTCAAAAATTATAATGTTTTAGAGGTTAAAATTTTAAAAAGTAGAAATTTTGCTTAACTCCACAGTGGGAGTAAAAATCCTAACTAGGAAGGAAATAAGAAAAGAAACACATATATATTTTTTTTAATGTCAAAAGGAAATAGATATTACACAAAAGTCTACTTGTCTTTAAGAAAAGCAGAAGTCTTTCTGATGAAAAGCATATGTGCCCCTGATGAAAGAAAACATGGAAGCAACTGCCTGCAGATTTTTTCCATATCTAAAGAAAACTTTATTTTAACTTTTTTTTTTGTTAGCCAAAAAACACTTTTTTTGTTTTGTTTAGGTCATGAACTCATGGGGATGCTTTGTCACATTTATACATTATTTATTTTAGTTATCTTGAGTTGCATGGATATGGCCGAGGTATTTTTTTTTATATAATAGAACATCATTTCAAAAAATAAGCATACAAACACAAAACTAGACGTGAATAACTATAGAGTACAAGAATAATTGACACCAAATAAATGACAGGATCCACTATTAAATTCATATGGAGCTCAAAGACAAGCATATATGTTGAGATCTAATAATGAAAATCCAGCTCGACATATAAATATCGAGCGTGACAAAAACTTTTTCAACAACACCACTACAATCGATTGATAAGCTTAATCAATCGAGACCAAAAGACTCAAAACAATAAAATCATTGATAATGTTACACCATGATCGAGACATCGACCATTCCTTCGAACGACCGACGCCGAAGACTCCCCGTGGAGGACCGGCTGTTGGCATCGAGGGTAAGGCGTAGCAAACGTGCCCTATACGTCGAGAGATCGCGCAAGAGGAGAGGCGCCGGGCGAGGGCTCTACGTGCTGAGCCCGCTGCGTCGTGGGACCATTGTCGGTCCTTTTTGCCAGAAGTCATGTCAACCCGAGGAGGGAAGTATTGATCCGACTGCTACTGCAGAAGTCAGGAAATCAGGCGGCAGGTTGAGAGGATCAGCCACATTTCTAGGAAAAGTCATCATGAAAACTCACCTACCCTCACGAGGATCGAGAACAGAATATGGCTTCCTCCTTGGGAACCGGGAATATGTAATCACATGTAAAGGCCTATAAATAGAACCAACGAAACCCAGAAAAGGGTTAGACACCATTGGTATTACAGAGAGAAAACTTGTAAACATCTAAGAAAATAGTGCATGCACAAGTGGATTAGGCACAAAATTATTGCCGAACCACTATAAAATCGTTGTCCCTTCTACATCATTTTACTGCTTATTACTTGATTCAGTGGTTAGTGCAACCGTGAGCGTTTCTGGAGAGGTAATTACGAGTTGTCAGAAAAACACCGTCAACAATTGGCGCTAGAAAGAGGGCGTCAAGCACAGAAATTTAACCCAGCTTTGAACCAAAAGAAACTGTCATCATGCCTCCCGGCAAGCATGTCCAGAATACCACCGCCGCAGGGACCTCAACGGATCCGCTTCCACCCTCGGCCGCGACTCCCCCAGACCGTATCAGCCAACTCTAAAAGTAGGTCGAAACGCTGGCCGCAGCCGTGGAAAGAATGGCTACGGCCCTGGCTAGGCGGGAACAGGGGCAGAACCCAATGCCACCGCTTGAGGATGCGCCGATGAACCCGGTGAACGCCGTTGTTGGGGGCTAAGTGATTGGCGACCGACGCGGTGACGCCGAGGAAGTCGCTGACAGTCGAGCGAATGATCCACGCCCGTCAAAGTCGAATCGGTCTGTAGGGAGCAGGCAATGCGCGGCACGGAGGAGAGCGCGGGAGAAGGCTGCGACGCCAGCTGTGGACAACAGAGATGCACCTCCTCGACCGCAACAGGATCCGCCTAGGAGGAACCTCATCCTCGTGGAATCCACATCGGTAAATGGCGGAGACCTGAGGGCGAGGCTCGACACCCGACGTGGAAAGGCCGTATAGCTGACAAGGGAAGATGAACTCGCAGCAGAAAATAAAGCTCTGGCCGAGAAGATGGCCAGGCTGGAGAAGCAGATGGGGAGTCGACTGAACAACTTTGAACAGGTTGTGAGAAAGGTGGCCGAGGCAGTTAACGTCGACGCCAAGATGTATACGTCTCACGACCACCCGTTCGCGGAAAACATCATCCGGGTCCCACTTCCCGACAAATACAAGTCGCTTCCCATTCTGTTATACGACAGGAGGAGTGACCCGGACGATCACTTGGAGGTGTACACAGGACACATGGTCCTGCATGGATACCCCGAGAAGGTGATGTGCCGGGCATTCAGGAATCACCTTTCCGATTTCGCGAGGAGATGGTTTAGGTCCCTCAAACCAAACTCCATCACCAGCTGGGATGATTTGAAGAATGCCTTTTTGACTCAGTTCATAGGTGTCAAGAAATACATCCCACCAAAACAGAACCTGTCGAGGGTATACCAGGGACCTAACGAGTCCCTGAAGGACTGGATAGCCCGGTTCGGGGAACAGGTTGCCGCCACTAAAGGAATCTCCGATGAAGTGGCCCTGATGGGGGCGCTGTCCAGCATGAAGAAGGACATCCCCTACAGCACAGACCTCGACCGAAGGCCGCCCCACACCTATCAGGAATTCCTGACAAGGGTGCAGGGGTTCATAAACGCCGAGGAGGCCAAGAAGGCCTTAAAGAGCAAGGCGGCAACCCCTGCCAAGGAGGAGGTAGGGCATACTAGCAGTCAGAACAACAGCAAGAAGCGCCGAGGTCCTCCTCAGGTGCAAGCCAAGCCAAGGTACAACCCAGCTCCGAGCAACAGGGGCGGCAACGCCTCGACGAGCCAGGGGGTGACCAAGCGGCCCAAGCCGCAACGGTACAACGCTTACACTCCCCTGACTATGGGGATCGAGGACCTCTACCACGAGATCAGCCATCTCCAGGTCCTGCGTCGACCTCCATCCCTAAAGTCTGACCTGGCAGGGAGAAACCAGAAGAAATATTTCCGTTTCCACCGCGAGAGTGGTCACACCATGGCCGAGTGCTACGACCTGAGGGATGAGGTCGAGAGGCTAATTCGGGAAGGGAGGCTAGGTGAATACCGAGCCGACCGCCGGAACAATAACAGGCGCAACGACGACCGACGGGACGAGCAGATGCGTGATAACCCGCCCGAACCAGTTGGCGTGATAAGAACGATCTTCGGGGGGCCATACCTCGGCGGTACCTCTTGACGCGCACAGAAGGAGTACGCTCGAGAGGCGAAGGAGAAGTTCAGCCAGAGGATCATGAACGTCTCTGGACGCGAGGCTAAGGCCGCGCGATATGAGGACGCTGAGATCACTTTCTCGGAAGCCGACGCGAGGGGGGTACATTTCCCCCAGAGCGATGCCTTGGTCGTCGAGGCCATGATCGGTAACCACATGGTTTGCCGTATCCTGGTCGACAACGGTAGTTCCGTGGACATCTTGTACGCGGACTGCCTTGACAAGATGGGGATTCCCCGCTCAAGGCTGCAGAACAGTGCCCAGCCACTGTACGGGTTCACGGGAGACAGCGTCATCCCGGAAGGGGCCATCGAGCTGCCTATGCCATCGGTGACCGACCACACACCTCGATCGTTATGTCAAAGTTCCTGGTGGTGAAGGGAGGCGACCAATACAACGCGGTCATAGGACGCCCGACCCTGAGGGCCTTGCGGGCGGTAACGTCCATCTACCATCAGGTGATGAAGTTCCCCACGCCAAACGGGATCGGCAAGGTCAAAGGCAACCAGTACGAGTCAAGACTCACGTACTCAGAAACTGTCCGCCACTACGCCGAGCCGACTCAGGTACGGAGAGAGCTACGAATGGTTGAGACTAGGGGAGAGGGACTCGACTTAGATCCACGGTTCCCAGGAGAAGAGCCCGGAGCAGGACCGGTCGAGGAACTAATTGAGGTCCCCATCGATGAAAGCGACCCAACGAGAACATTGAGGATAGGCTCGGAGTTGGGGGCGTAAAACCGGGAAAAATTGGTCGAGTTTCTTAAGGGAAGCCTCAACGTGTTCGACTGGACCCACGAAGACATGGAAGGGATAACCCCCGACGTCATGTGTCACCGGCTGAACATCGACGACAAGTTTCCGCCAAAGAGACAGAAGCGTCGACCAATGAACGCCGAGAGGTCCAAAGCCCTGCGGGTAGAAGTGGACAAGCTCATGAGGAACAACTTCATCCGAGAAATCTTATACCCAGAATGGGTGTCAAATCCTGTCCTGGTAAGGAAGCCAAACGGGGAGTGGCGAACGTGTGTCGACTTCAGCGACTTGAATAAAGCCTGTCCTAAGGACAGCTTCCCATTACCACGAATCGACCAGTTGGTCGACGCCACGGCAGGACACGAGCTATTGAGCTTCATGGACGCATACTCTGGGTACAACCAGATACCAATGCTCGACCGCGACGAAGAGCACACGGCGTTTGTCACCGACAGAGGGCTCTACTGTTACCGAGTGATGCCCTTCGGTCTCAAGAATGCTGGAGCGACCTACCAACACCTCGTTAATAAGATGTTCGCGGGGAAGATAGGAAAGTCTATGGAGGTCTACGTCGACGATATGCTAGTAAAGAGCAGGAAGACCGAAGACCATGAGAAGGACCTGGGAAGAATGTTCGGTGTTCTCAGAGCATACAAAATGAAGCTGAACCCTCGGAAGTGTGCCTTCGGCGTCGCTTCAGGGAAGTTCTTGGGTTTCATGGTGAGCAGTCGAGGAATCGAGGCCATTCTGGAAAAGATTCAGGCCCTCCTCGACATGGCATCGCCAAGGAAGCCTAAGGAGGTCCAGAAGCTGACAGGCTGTGTGGCCGCACTTAATAGGTTCATCTCCAAATCCACAGATAAGTGCGTACCGTTCTTTGACACCCTGAGGGGAAGCAAGTCATTTCTATGGATGGAAGAGTGCGAACAGGCGTTCCAACAACTGAAGGAACACCTTGAGAAACCCCCTATGCTGTCCAAACCTGTGACCGGGGAGGTGCTGAGCCTTTACCTGGCGGTCTCGGAACACGCCGTTAGTTCGGTGTTAATCCGTGAAGAGAAGAGGGTGCAGCTGCCGGTGTATTACACTAGCAAGCGCCTCCTCGACGCGGAGACTAGGTATCCCCAGATGGAAAAGCTCGCCCTCGCGCTAGTTGTGATAGCGAGGAAATTACGACACTACTTCCAGGCCCATAGCATTCAGTTCTTGACCAATCACCCCCTCAGGCAGGTGCTACAAAAGCCCGACGCCTCTGGTCGACTCCTTAAATGGTCAATAGAGCTCAGCCAGTTCGATATCGATTACAAACCACAGACCGCTATCATGGGCCAAGCCCTAGCCGACTTCGTGGCAGAGTTCACAGGGCTAGCAGTCGAGGTCGAGGAAGCCGACGAGCCACCACGATGGAAGCTCTACGTCGACGGAAGCTCCAACGACAACGGCAGTGGGGCGGGACTGGTGTTACACACACCGGAAGGACATAAGGTCACCTCGGGCCGTCAGGTTCGAATTCCCCGCGTCCAATAATGAAGCAGAGTACGAGGCACTGCTCGCCGGACTCCGGTTGGCGGAGCACTTGAAAGCTGAAAACCTCGACATCTTCAGCGATTCACAACTCATTGTGAATCAAGTGAAGGGCCAGTACCAGACCAGGGACGAGAAGATGGCTGCGTACCTGAAAAACGTTAAGGAAGCCCTGGAAAAGTTCACCACCTATGACATACAGCAGGTACCGAGGGCAGATAATAGCAACGCCGATGCACTCACTAGGCTAGCGACGTCGAGAGACGCCGATCTTTTGAACCTGGTACCTTTAGAGGTCCTGAAAACCATGTCCACGGAAAAGTGGCCCGAAGTCGCACCAGTGGACCTCCAACCTAGCTGGATGGATCCAATCATCAGGTACTTGGTCAGCGGCGAGCTTCCTGAGGACAGGCGGCAGGCCCAAAAGATGAAGTACCTTAATTTCAATGGATGTTATTGTAATTTAGTGTGTTATGAATTTTAAGTTATTTCTAATATGTAAAAAACTAAATAAAAGTATACAATTTCGTGTCAATTTTGGGTTCATGGGTCAATTTCGTGTCACGGGTCATTTTCGGGTCGTGTCGTGTCAGCTCGTAAAGTGGTCGTGTCGTGTTGGTGTTGCGATTTTTATAAAATTTCGTGTCACGGGTCGTGTTCGGGTTGACTGCAAATTTTAAAAAAATGATCAAAACACGACACGAACACGACACGTGACACGAATTGCCACCCCTAGATGGCTGCGTACCTGAAGAAGGTTAAGGAAGCCCTGGGAAAGTTCACCACCTATGACATACAGCAGGTACCGAGGGCAGAAAATAGCAACGCCGATGCACTCACCAGGCTGGCGACGTCGAGAGACGCCGATCTTTTGAACCTGGTACCCTTAGAGGTCCTGAAAACCCCGTCCACAGAGAAACACGCCGCACGACAACCTCCTCTACCGCAGAGGGTACTCGATGCCCTTGCTCAGGTGCCTCGGTGCAAAAAAGGCAAAGAGGGTGCTATCGGAGGTGCACGATGGGGTTTGCGGGAACCACGCGGGGGACAGTCCCTAGCCTACAAAATATTATGGCAAGGGTATTACTGGCCCAGTCTCAAAAAAGATGCGGCCGAGTACGCGAAAAGGTGCGAAAGCTGCCAGAGGTACGCCCCCACCCCTCGACTGCACTCAAAGGACCTAACGTCCATACTATCCCCCAGGCCCTTCGTAAAGTGGAGGATTGACCTCATTGGTCCCATGCACAGAACCCCAGGGGGGTACAAGTTCGCTATAGTCGCCGTCGACTACTTCACGAAGTGGGTCAAAGCCGAGCCATTGACGGCCATCTCGGAGGCGAAATGCACAAACTTCATATGGAACAACATCGTGTGCAGGTTCGGTGTCCCGCACTCTCTCGTGTCCAACAACGGAAAGCAGTTCAACAACGACAACACCAGCCAGTTTTGTGAGCTGCTGGGGATCCACAAGAATTTTTCCTCTGTCGTGTTCCCCCAGTCTAACGGGCAGGTCGAGACAGTCAACAAGATAATCAAAGTCACGCTCAAACGAAGCCTCGACGCCTACAAAGGGAAGTGGGCCGACGAGTTGCCAAAAGTGCTGTAGGCCTACCGAACAACTAGTAGAACTACCACGGGGGAAACCCCATTCTCAATGGCCTATGGGTTTGAAGCAGTCCTGCCAGTAGAGGTGCCCATTCTGACCGACCGGGTAACCCGGTACGAGGAGGATAGGAACGCCGAACTGATGAACTTGGAGCTCGACCTCTTAGAAGAACGACGCACAAATACGCAGTTAAGGCTCGCCGCATACTAGGCAAGAACGGCCAGGTATTATAACAAGAAGGTCAAGCCGAAGCACTTCGGGGTCGGGGACCTAGTTTTGCGGGTGGTAACCCCCAACACGAAACCCAAGAACTCCGGAGCCTTGGGTCCGACCTGGGAAGGGCCCTATAGAATAAAAGAGGTTATCGCAAACGGGTCATATCGACTGGCGGAGCTCGACGGTTGAAGCATCAAGCACACATGGAATGCGAACCAGTTGAAGGTTTACTACCAGTGACCACGAGAAGCGTCGACCTAATAGACCAGGCTAAATGTCTTCTATTTGTATTCTTTCATTTCCCCGTTCTGGCAGGCTGAAAAGCCAACTTGTAACCCATACGCTAATAAATATACGTCGATATGTATACTAATTCTTACTATATGGGTATGATCTTCTACAATTGTCGATACGTCAACCAAAAATTGTCGATACGTCGACCAAAACTTGTCGATACGTCGACCAAAAATTGTCGATACGTCGACTAAAGTCGTCGCTACAACGACGACGATGCGCCGAAGACAAGTCCAAAGCCTTGTTCTTGGCAAGGGGGCGATGTGAGCCCCCCACGAACTTGCAAAGACGGTAGGGCTCTGGCCCAACCGTGCTTTGAGCAACTGCGAGTTTTTCTACGCTCCTCACATCCCACTATCTACGCCGAAGAGTCTACAGTGATGTGCCAAGGCCGACTTCTCAAACTCAGCCTCGACAAGGGGGTACTAAGGCCCAATAATGAGGCCCCCCAACAAAAAGCACAACGCTCCTTACGCACAAGAGGCAGTCGAGCCTACACTTGGCAAAAAATCAAAGAGAATATACATATACGCAACATCCACGCAAACAGTGAGTAAAAGCACGAATATTAT